AGTGTTGACTAAAAGACATTTATTTTAATCATAATACTTGAGATTAGGATTAGGTATCACAGACATTTTTAAAAATTCATTAAAGTTGATCAAGATATGAGGTGTCATTTGGTCTAGGCATGCAATTTAAAATTTACCTTCACACACAGGAGATCCTGGATACCAGCCAAAGTTATAGCACTGAATTAAGTCAGATCCACTCAGATAATAATTTTCATGACAGAAAAATTGAACTACATCTCCTTCCTCATAGGTTTGCTTTACAGGATGAAAATATCCATTTTCCAGTAACCTCAAAGAAGAACACTTTAATTCTAAAGACGAAAGAATGAATGAAAACACAAATATTTATTTTTCCAGCTAGAACAAAATCCACTAGTTAACTGCCATATCTGAAAGTGAAACTAATAAAATTGTCATATAACTAGTAAAAGCCTATGAATTAATTTCATATATTTCTCAAGTATCATTAGGTAGGCTTATTTTAATTTAATTCTGAGAGCTAAAATTTATTTTTCTATTCGAGAACTTTAAATGATCAAAACCTACAATTAATCAACATAATTGAAGCTAAAAACAAGGAGGTTTAAAATATGACAAGGTATAAACACTTCTCTATGAGTGAAATTTTTCAGTGTGAAAATCAGTTTTATTCAAAGTGAGAACCTACTGGTACACTTTGGGGCTTGAGCCCAGCCGGATGTGCGGCACTCAGCCTCCTCTGACTGCTTTCCCGCAGCCGTGTAGTAGCCGGCAGCACATTCGTACTGCACTTTGTCCTTCACTTTGAATGTTCTCTGTGTCGTGGAATAATTTCCATTATGCAATTCAGGCGCCAGACATGTTTCTAAAAAAAAATTAAAGTCATTTAATTTATTATCTTCATCAATAGCCTAAAATATTGACATGCTCTTTCCCTGAATCTTAAAAATACATGACAAAATTGACCGTTGGCAAAGTCAACCCTTGACAAAATTGAAAAACTCGAAGTTCATTTTTGCCTCTATCTCTTTTTCATCGTCCTGTGAGTTCTGGTTCATTCACTGTATTTGACCAATGACCACAATTCAAATAAATCTTGTGAAATAGCAGTTTTGATTTTGTGGATATGTACAATTCAGGCAACTTATAAGTACTCTAACAAATTTTCCTGTAAATAATGACATTCATTTATTTACCTAAGTTTTTTTTCATTAATTCCACTTCAGTTCTTTTCTATCAGTCCAAAGTAGAAGCCACAGGTGTAGTTATGGCAGTTGAAAACCCATGGATTAAGAACATACTAAGCATTTGAGAAAAACACTTGACTTCCCACACTTTCAGATTCATGGAAATAAATTACGTTAACAGAAACTCTTAGTAATAGAAGAACGTACTAGCCTCGGAAGCCTTGACGTTAAAGGAAATGATTCATTGACACATACCGTGCTCCTTTGTACAGGATGGTTGAGAAGACCATCCATCAGGAAGACACTGGATAACTTCTTCATCATGCCCTCCAGTGGTTTTGTATCCAGAGGTACAGCGATAAGTCACATTCTCTTGAAATTTGTATAACACTTTTTCATCAGCAATGTAACCATTTATCAGGTCAGGTTTAGTGCATTTTTCTATGGGGGAAGAAAAGATTTCTTTGCTTCACTCTATGATGAAATTAAGCTTATCCTTATACTAAGTGCTAAATAAGGCAAAGGTAATATTCTGTTAGAATTAGTCTATAATTCCTTGGTCTAATTTGGAAGTATCTTTCATATCCTGTGTAAAGTTTCTTTGGAAATGGATTCATATTTTCATTGGTTTTCTTTACATTTTCTTGCCTTATTACATATACTTTTAGAAAGCATATCCCCAGTTCTTCCACTAATTGTCCTATGGATAAATAGCAAGAATTTCTTTTGGATCTATTTCTTCATATTTAAATATGTTTGATAATGTAATAAAATATTCCTATTTAATGGCTCCTTAAATTATTTTACATTTGTTCATTTTTTTCAGCAAATAGTTCAGGTTCACCTACCTGTACAAAACTCAATAGTCCATGCAGAATGTGAGTAAATGATAGATATATTCTTCAAAATCTTTGAGTTCACACTTTCAATAGCAATGCATGAACTAATAAAATATTTTAACTTTACGTGAAACTTTATCATTTCTTATAACCCACATTATTAAACCTTTATAACAAATGCAGAAGTGTTAAGAGACTTATTGAAGCCAAACTTAATGTATTAGCTTAAATATATTTAGTACCAGTGTGACACAATATGTTTTCTCTCATTGGAATGATGTTACCCCACCTTATAGATGAAAAATTAGGGTCAGAATGTTTAAGTCATTTCCCCAGTGGCAGAGCTAGACTCACAAAAAGTCACTCTGACTTTACAGATTGTATTTTAAGCATTAAATACTGTCTACCACTTTAATCTCTTCTGGCTCTTACTTCACTGTTTTATCTTCCAAGACAAAATATATAGTAACTATAAGGTTTAAGATTACTTCTATACTCATTTTGGATGGGATCTATTAGAATCAATCCATTTAATGCTAAACAAAAAGTGCAATGCCAATATTATACTCTGTCCCAAAGTCATGGAATGGGTAGTGAATCCCATATGGATGTGTTCATTACATGTGTAATGAACTTCTTCAAATAAAACCAACTCAATTAAATTCTCTTACTCTGGAAAATTCTTAGCAAAAGAGAGTTTTTGCCGTGGAAGCCATTTCATAGTTTGACTGTAGCATAGCATGATATAATGAACCCGTCATAACACCACCTGACAAAGCTGAGGGAGAAATTCAGATAAAAACAATGCATATTATAGGAAAAGGTAGCATGCAAAACAGGGAGAAGTTTGCAAATGATAAAGCAATGGAGTAATAATTGTGTCCTTACTGATGCCAGAGTCTTAAGCATATTTCCGGCTTCCTATGCAAAACAATGTATATAATCAGTTCTTCACTACTTAAAGTGACACAGCAGTATCTCCATCACATGTAATGTGATAAATAATAATCTAACTTACCACCTTTATTCTATTTATGGGCATTATTAAACAAATAAAATCACTTTATATAAAAGCATTATTTACAGGATATCTGGTGCAGAACTTTGTAAAAACATATTTGCTCTTATCTAAAAGGGTGGAGCACTTTACATGCTTTAGGGAAATAACTCATCTTCGTAGGAGCTAGTGGATTGCAGTACAGTCCTGGGCCGTTGTGTGGACAGAGTGTACTGACTTACTGAAGCACCGGGGCTCCGGAGACCAGCCTTCGGGTGTGCATTTGGTTCGCCCTTCTTGTTTTCCATTTCCAGTTGTATAACCAGCCAAGCACAAAAATGACAATTTGCTGTCTATGTTCATTGGAAAGTAAAAACTTTTAAAAGTATAGTAATATTGGGCTATTCTTCCATTGTGCACAGTTGGAAAACCACAAGTTTTCTCTGAAATGAGCAAAACTGAAGCTGAAAATAGAAAAACCACCTCCAAAACTATATGATTTTTGATGAAGCAGTAATACATTTGTGCATAAACAAACATTTTCAAACACTTAAGCTTATACTTATTTTTATTATCTAAACATTTAAGATACTTCCGTGACATCCAAGCATTTCTTTACTTTTGTTATTCTGATGACATGCTAATCTGCATTAGCACTAAATAACCCCGACAATCAGGCCAGGACTGAGAAAAGCTGGCGCAGAAGGATGGTGACATGGCATAAGCACCTAGCAGAGCAGGACAGCAGACAAAATTATGTGCAGGATGGTCTGCATGTGCTGAGTCCTCCTTACCATTCTCATTAACCAAGGACTAGAAATTCACAGTGAGGAGAGAATCCTGGAAAATAGCAATGCTGTAGTGAATATATAAGACTGCTCCCTTCTCCACTGCTGGGGGGATGTAGACTGGTGAAAGAATTTTGGAAATCAGTGTGGAGACTCCTGAGAAAACCAGGACTGGAAATCCCACTCAAACCAGCTATCCCCCTACTGGGAATTTCCCAGAGGAACTGAAAACATCATATCATAGTGATATATGTGTGCCTATGTTTATAGCAGCACAATTTGTGATAGCCAAATCCTGGAAACAACCAAGATGTCCATCACCTGAGGAATGGATGAAAAAGATGTGGTATTTTTAGACAATGGAGTATTACTCAGCTATGAAGAATGATAAACTTTAAGCCTTTATATTGAAGTGGATGCCACTTGAAGATATACTCATAAGTGAAATAAACCAGACCCACAGGTGTAAATATCATATAGTTTCCCTTGTATAAGAACTCAAAAGAAGAAATAAAAATTAAAAAATAGAAGGGTATAAGACTGTTCCCTTAGAGTATCCTGCTGGACATAGAAGGAAACAAAACATGGCTCCAAATATGCTCTGTCTTGGGGTCTCTTCCTTCCTCACGACCAGGAGAGTCACAGCACTTGATAAGGGAGATGCACTACCTTGCAGAACATGAATTCATGAGAAAAAAAATAGTAAGAAGTGCTAGGCACTCAGCCACAATAAGAGAAAGTAAACAAATGACAATAAATATCAGGTTTAGAACAAACTTAACAAATAATGGAGACCATCCTTGAATAATCGAAAAGCCTGGTAATACAGATCAAAAATAAAAGACTAAAAGAATAAATAAGCGAATACTCTGAAAATGCAAATATAGCACTTATAAATGTGGAAAATGGCAGAATGATTTTGGTCAAAGATCTAGTCAGCAATAAAACCAAACACTTAGTTTTTGCTTTCTGACATTAAAGCTCCCGAAACACACAGTTCCAGAAGCAACAACTGTGTTATTCGAGGTGCAGGGGAAATGTAGAAGCTACATGGGAAAATTTTGTGAATTTGGTTATATCAAAATTGATAATTTCTTTCAATGAAAGTCACTGTCAACAAAACACAATAGCACTTTGAAAAAAAAAAAAAATCTCAATGCCAGAATTGACAAGAAGTCAAAACTTACAGGTTACAGAGTTCCCACAAAACAATCATAAAGACATAAAGCAAAGTGCTAATCAGATGTAAAACAAGAAATCACAAATGCCTGAGCATCTAAAAATGTATATAAAGAGATATATAAACTAAGAATTAGAGAATTGGAAATAGATAAAGATAAGATGCCAAAACCAAGCGTGGTGGTGCACGCCTATAATCCCAGCACGCAGGAGGCTGAGGCAGGAAGACTGCAGCAAGTTCAAAACCAGTTTGGGCTACAAAGAGAACTCCAGGCCAGGCGAAACTGCATAGTGAGACTCTGTCTCAAAAAGACAGAAATAATAAATATGACTTCCTCCACACCATTGTGGGAAATAGTGCTGACAAGGACAATAAAAGGCAGCAATTAAGATGGGGAGATAGCTCACAGGTGTTGGTGCCTACCTGGCGAGTAAGTACAAGGACCCTGGCTCCCAGAGCTGGGGAGGGTGAGACAGGAGGATCACTATGAGTCTGAGTTGCATAGCGAGACCCTGTACCAAATAAATAAATAAATAAATAATAAAAAGGCAGCAACTCACATGCTGTTTTAGAGATTACACATTTGAAATAACCATTTTTCAAAGTAATCTGTCCTTATGTGCTTAGAGAAATACATACAAAATTCTGACCTTAAATCTCTCAGAGAGATATTCTTATAGAGAAATAAACTGATGCATCAGTTTTAATTTTACAGATAGGAGACAGAAGGAATTACAATGTCCATTATTAGAATAATAGAAAAGTGAGATATGTGAAGTATTCTGAAATAGTTAAAAACAAAGCAGCTCCACAAGTAGAAATATATTTGAACAATGTCAAGTAACATAAGACAATAAGAAGAGTGACTGTAAAACACACAAAACGTGTTACCAAGTCTTGATATTTCAGAATATACCCAACATTATAGTGGATCCTAGAGATCTTGTAATATAAGATCAGAGATAAAAAGAGAAAATACATAAATACAGCAAAAGTTAGGTCCTTCAAAGCAAAATGATTACATACACGAAATGAGAAGAATAAGTAACTTGATTTCTCACCCTGAGTTCACAACAGGGGTTGGGAAGGTACAGAATACGGGATCCTGGCTCTTTTCTTTATGGAGCTTATATTCTTTGTTTGTATGGAACATGATTATAACCAAAGAATTAAAAAAAAAATCAGAGTAGAGACGACAAATATATTAGCTGGTATATCTATTTAGACAAAGGAAATGAAGAGAAACTGTTCATGAAAATTATCCTATTGTAGAATTAAATGTATTAAATAAGATAAATTACATTTATTTCACTCTCATAATTTTAATGGAATCCCTTTTGTTAGAAAGTATGTAGTAAACTATTCAACTAAAATTCAATTCTAACCTATAGAATATTGTATTTCAGCAAATTTTCCAGTGTTCATTTTAGAAAAGATTTGTTGCAGTGGTCTCCCCCTTTTCATTCTCACTGTTGCTGGTTGCTAAATGACAATGTAAATCTTAACCCTACAGTCTAATTACACTGAGAACTATTCTTGAATAGCAAAAAACATAATTGTACCTACCTTTTATTCTCACATTCATTTTATATGCTATGGGTAAAAACATTTCTAATAGGAAATCAACAGATAACTAGATAACTTAGAGTTCAGGTTATACCTGCTTTCCAGACATAATTATTAGAATGGACTCTTACTCTATAAAAAGTCTTTGTATAAGCAACACGTCCTCTTACAAACGACTATTGAGAATGCCAAACCAGGAGTACCAGTGAATAAATCATTGAAACAAAAATCAAAGTAAGAGTAGAAAAATCAGGATAATGATTTATGATTATTTCACTTTCAGATTTTCCCCATTAAGATTTTACCATATAAACAAAATTAAAATTATGCAAGTTTTGTCAGAGATATGATAAAAGTAGGACTATATGAATTTATAGATGACATTTAAATTACCTTATTGTTAGTCAGAAAAACTCTTAAACTAAATAGTTAAATACCAGTCTCCTATACCATAAAACCATTGAAACAGAGGACTTTGCTGTGTTTTTCTAAGCCATGCTACCAGAATAATAACATAATACATTTTGCCTGAGACTAATGTCATTACATTTATAAAAATCATGTTATTATATTGATGTATCAAAATAAAATTTATATTAACACTCACGTAAATACTGGCATCTCAATATATATTTTCATAGAATAAAGAATATTAAGAACTTTACCTTCTGCATACAGTTGTCCTGGAATCATTATTAGAATAATAAAAGCCAATTCTTTCAACCTCATCTTCAGTGATGTGCTTCATAAAGATTTTAACAATTCTAAAATGCTGGAATTTTGTCATTAGAAATACAACACTTTCTTGAAGAAAAAGTTAATAATTTACAACATCCATGAAAGCCTCTTTGGTAAAAAAAAAATGTATTTCAATTAAAATGCTTTCAAATAATGTTAAAATCGCACAACTATATAATTGATATTACATTTCCTACTAGAGGACAATAAGAACATAACAAATAAGGACAATAACCACAGTACAATTAGCACAAACTACATAAACTAGGTAAATTTCAACTTTGATTCCTAACTTTAAGTTCATAGAGCAAAGTTCACCTGGCCGCTTAGGTTTGCTGATATTGACCAAGTGAAGAGATGAACTCAGGAACAACAAATAACAGAGACACGATATGTGGAGAAGTGATGAAACCATATGGTGAATGTTCAAATGCTTAAAACTTTTGTGACATTAAATAAATCCATTGCAATTGGTCCCTTTCAAAATATTCCACCTACTTCAAGCACAGGTATCTCATTTTTCTCTCTGTCTTCTGAAGTGATTCTGGAAATATTCTTTCATGTGTGCTTTCATGAGGCATAATAAAAAATAAAGTGAACGTCAAGTGCCATCTAATGGACAAGCAAGCTCATAAAGATATTACCTTGTGTCTTTATCCATCTTACTCCCTGTATCTGGCACTGTGCTACTTCTAAGTCTTTCCCAAAGTAAAAATCAGCATTAAGGGTAAATGTGTTTTTATTTATTTTGGGCACAGAGGAAGCTAGAACAGTGCAACTAAAAACAGTCATGAAAGAGAATTGCCGGAACTGCTTCAGAAATCGGCAAGGTTAGGTTAAGTGTGTGCTTTGGTTTGTGTCTAGATATGCCCCCAAAGCCTCATGCAGTCAAGTGGGGAGGCTTTTCAGAAGTGGCTGAATCGGATGTGTGATGCTGGGATTAAGGGTGTGTGATCAGTTCACTGATTGGTTTGGCACCACCCTAATTGAAGAAGCCTAGATTGAGCATAAAGGGGCAAGAAAGCTCTACCAAGGTTCAGTTGTTGATTCTGCAGTCTTTTTCTGGCCATGAACTGTTTGACTCTGCAAACCCACCCTTCCTTGGAACCAGCAGATTATAGACTGGAACCTCAGTAAACTGAGCTAAATGAACCTTTTCTCCTTTAACTTGTGTGTTGTGAATTTTGTCTTAACAATGAAAGAAAAGTAGCTAAGATGGAATTTGTACCAGGAGTGAGATCCTTGCTGTTACTATACCTGACCATGTGGTTCAGGAACTTTTGATTATGACTTAAGGAAAGAATTTGGAAAGGTTTGGAGATACCAGATGAAGAAGTGGAACTAAAACACTATAGATTACTGTATGGGAGATTCTGGTCAGTGTTCAGAAGAGCAGAAGGCTGATTGAAATCCTGAAGGTAAAGATCATACTCTGGAGGTTGCTGCTGGGGAAAGACTGCATGGTGGGTTGTTGGGCTCCAGACAATGTGTGTTATGGTTTGACAGAAAGTTTGTCTGCATTTTTCTTATGCAGTCTCAGAGATTTGGTCTGAGACTGAGATGAAGAGCCACGGACTAATTAATCTTGCAGAAGTAATTTCAAAGTAGTCTAATGTTGAGGTGGTGCCGTGGCTGCTTTGGGGGGCTTTTAGCCAGATTTATGTTGAAAAATTAAAAGCAATGAGCTTAGCAGAATGATTTAAGATGTGTGTATAGAAAGAAAGCTCCAGTAAAGCTGTGAATGCAAAGATAGAACAGAGGATATCTGGATTGCTGAGAAGAGACTAGAAAAGATTACCTGAGGGTATTGCAAGAAAAAGAGAACTCCACCCTTTGCAGCCTCAAAATTGCAAAGGTGGAAGACTTTGCTTTGAGAAGACAGTCCCAGAGCACCATGTTCCAGAATGACTATGGCCTAGAGAATTTGCTCCTTGGAAGTGGCTTCAGAGTGCGCAGAGGTCCAGGCACCTGATCCCTACAGCCAAGAGGGAGAGAAGGCTGGCTGCTGCTCCCGCTGGAATCATCCACAAGGGGCTCTTTTTAGGTGCATGCAGAATGGAAGACATTATGGTTTGTGTCTAGTTGCCCCCCCAAAGCGTCATGCAGTCATGGGGCAGACTTCTAGTTTGTGATTAACTCATGATCCACTGGGATTATGGACATGTGTGCTGTTGGGATTGTGGGTGTGAGTACTACACCCAGCCTGGGGTGGATAGCCTGATTGCAATTTAAGGGAGACAGACTTGCTCTCTGCAGCCAGTTGCCACTACCCCTCCCATTTGCTCTTGCTGTTTTGCCGTTTTCCCCTGCCACAAATGACTGCCCTCTGCCGTGTGCCACACTGCCTTGGAACCAGCCGAGTATGGACTGAAACCTCCACAAACTGTGAGCTAAATAACTTTCCTTCCTTAATTTTGGGTGTCAGTTATTTTCCCAGAAAGGAGAGATTAGTAACTAAGACAGAAGAGCTGTGGTGTCAGAAAAGCTTCCACCCAGATTTCAGAAGGCCTATGAGGTCAGGCCGTGTGCTTCTGGGAGGACAGTGTTTGAACTTGTGAGAATGAAGCCAAAGGAGTTGTGGAGGTCTGGAGAAGCCAGGAAGGTGTACCATCAGAAGAAAACTGCAAAAAGAGAGCAGAGTGGGCCCAGAAGAGAAGCCATGGCAGATAAAACAGAAAATGCTTCCGGGCAGAGCCATCCACACCCTTTGGAGTTCACACATTTTGATTTCCTCAGATGCTGCACATAGAACTATGGACTTAATGTTTTCCCTGCTGGATTTTGGATTTACTTCGGTCCCATTCTTTTGTATCCCCATTTGTAACTTTTAGAATGGAAATGTCTATTTTGTGCCACTGAACGTTGGAAATATTTAACTCTTCATTTGTATGAGTGGCTCACAGTTGAGTTTGTGCCACTGAACACTGGAAGTATTGAACTTTCTTTTCATTTGTACAAGGGGCTCACAGTTGAGTTTGCCTTAAATCTCAGAGAAGACCTGGGACTTGGACTTTTCAGCAATGCTGAAACAGTTCAGGTTTTGGCAACTCTTGGAGATGGACTAAATACCTTTTGCATAATGTAAATGAGAGGCTGGGGATATAGCTCTGTGGCACAAGCATCTGCCTGGCAAGCACAGGGTCCTAAGTTCCATTCCCAGTACAAAAAAAAAAAAAAAAAAAAAAAAAAAAAGCTGTGCATGAGTGTTTGGGGGATGGAATGTCATGGTTTGTGTCTAAATATCCCCCAAAACCTCAGGCAGTCATTGGGGTAGGTTTCTCAAGGTAGCTGAATCTAGAGTGTGATGCTGGGATTGAGGGTGTATGATCACTTCACTGATTAGCCTGGTACTGCCCTAATCCAAGCAGCCTTAATAGAGTATAAAAGGGACAGGAAAATTCTGCCAAGGTTCGGTTGACTTTTCTGTCTTCTGCCAGCCATGAACTGTTTTCCTCTGCAAACTCACCCTGCCTTGGAGCCAGCACATTATGCACTAGAACCTCTACAAACTGAGAGGTTGTAGAGTGTCGGGTATTTTATCTCAGCGAAGAAAAGTAACTAAGAAAGTCTGTCCACAGGGAGGAATATTTTGAGGAATATTAATAGCAAAGTGTCTTTTACCATAACATTTTAAAATTAAGCATACACTGAATTTTGAATCACACTGCATGTGTTGTTTGTTAGGCTACACTTCTTAAAGGGATAAGTTATTTTATCTCAATGATAGGTAGGTATTGTTAAAAATAGTAAAGTCTAACACTTGCAGTTTAAATTCTATGTTAAGTGGTGAAATAAACACTACTATTTCTTCATTCATGTATAAAAATGTTTTGAATGTCTACTAAATGCCTAGCCTTTCTGTAGTTTTCGAGTAGACAAACATGAAAAAAAAACATTAAAATTGTTATTTTCATGGGATTCACATAGTAAAGAGTTTTAACTTTAAAAATAACACTAATATAATGTGAGAGCAAGTATTATTCCAATTTTGTAACATTTTATGGATACACCGTAAGTCTACGTAGTTATGAACTCTCAAAACCTGAACTTACTGACAAATACAAACCTGAAAATACAAAACTTCTAGACTCTTATAAGTACCCACACTGATGTTAAACAGTATATTTATTTTTATTTTAATTTTGTCTTTTTCCTGTTTTTACATGCATACTATCCATTAGTATATATTTTCTGCCTAATTCCTTTTTTTTTTTTTTTTTTTTTTTTTTTTTCGGAACTGGGGATTGAACTCAGGCCCTTGCGCTTGCCAAGGAAGCACTTATTCCACTGAGTCATCTCCCCAGCCCCACCTAATTCCTTTTTAATATTCTGAGAAACAATCATTCTTTAAGATCTATAAGGTAGTTGTTTTTCTGCACATTATTCCATATTGTGATTATGCCACAGATTATCCATTCTACTACTATTTATAGTGATTTGAATGATAGTTTCAGGATAGAATGTTATTTTCAAAGATAAAAGATTTTCAAACAGAAGCTATCCATGGATTTTACCATCAATATCTTTTTTTAAATTCAAAAATACTTTAATTAATTTTACTTTTAAAAGTAGATATCCAAAGTGTATCTTGCATAACTGAAATCCTTTGTATTTGGACAACATATCATTATTCTTCCTTCTTTCCAGCCCGTTAACTATCATACAATATTTTGTTTCTATATGTTCGACTACATTTTATATGTAAGTGGGAATGTGGAATGTTTCTCAAGGTTTCATCATTCAGCATAGTAACATCCAAGCATCCATATTCTCATGAAAAGGTTAGTTTGTTTTATATAAGGCTGTGTAACACAGCCATTGCATGTGTATACTACTTTTTTCTATTCATCCAACATTAAGCTTATTTCCATTATCTTGACTGTCGTGAATAATGTTGCAATGAACACACTGGTGCAGTTACCTCTTTGAGATTTCTATTTGGTTTCCTTGAACATTTTTGAGGAGTAAGATCCTGAATGAGATGATAACTGTCCTTTTGATGTTGTTAGAAATGTCCACATTACTTTCCAAGAACTGTAACAATTTACCATCCCAGTGATAATGAGAAAAAGATTTCTATTTCTCTACTTGCTCAGAAGCAACTTTTTTACTTACTATACCCACTCTAACAGGTATGAGGTATTATCTACATGGTTTTCATTTTTCTTGCCCTGATAATTAGTGATTGTAAGTGGCTTTTCATGTACCTATTGGTATATTTGTCCTTCATGGAGAGATGACTAAGGATTTTACCCTTTTTTA